AAGGGGAAACAGGTGGAAACTGAGTACCTAAATGAGCCACAGAGACATTAGAAAGATTTTTCAGTGTCAGAGTAATTACCAGATGCAATGCACTAGGAAGTGATGTGGTGGAGGCTGACTCCATACACAGTTTCAAATGTAGATATGATAGAGCCCAGTAGGCTCGGGAATCTGTAGACCAGTTGATTGACAGTCGAGATTCGGGACCAAAGAACTTAAGCTCAACCCCCGCAAGCACAACTAAGAGAGTACACACATCCCCAGGAAGCAGCCCGTAGCAGCTGTCTAACTCCCAGGTACCTTTTTACTGCTAGGTGAACAGGCCATCAGGGTGAAAGAAAGTATTCGTTTCTTCATCGGGCGGAAATTGAATCCGGACTCTAACGGCTACGACCCCCGAGCGCTGTGTGTGTATACTCACCTATTTGTATTTTTTAGGATTTAGCATCACCTCTTGGACCCCGCCTTTTCTAGCGCCGGTTGTCTAATGCAATGATTCCTGACCCATTTCCCTATCATATCTGGTTTTACAATTGTTAATGGCGTTTGCCTCTTCAACCTTCTCTTTTAATTCATTCCATTTCCCAATTCTCTTTCGCCGAAAGAAAACTTCTAACATCTCTATAATTCATCTAAATCTCGAACTTCCATCCATGCTCTCGTGTTGTGTTGTTATTCATTGTGAACATCTAATCTTTTTCCACTGTCAGTCTCCAAAAGTATTTTATACGTCTCTATTATGTCTCCGCTATCTCTCTCCTCCTTTCTAGCGTCGTCAAGTTTAATTCCTTCAGTCTTTCTTCATATTTCATACCTCGCAATTCTTGGGCGAGCCTTGTTGCAAACTTCTGAAGCTTTTCGAGTTTTATTAAGGTGTTTTCTAGATGGGTGTTCCACGATGGAGTGGCATACAGCTATCCTAGTATAGTTGAGTTCGTTTTAGACAGTCGAAAATCCGGGGTTCGAATCCCGGGCGGGACAAAAATGGCTGGGCACGTTTCCTTTCACCTAGCAGTAAATAGGAACCCGGGAGTTAGTGAACTGTTACGGAGCTGCATTCTGGGAAGGAATAACAGTCTCTGTGGTGCAGTGGTAAGACACTCGCCTGGCGTTCCGCGAGCGCTATGTCATGGGTTCGTATCCTGGCCGGGGAGGATTTACTGGGCGCAATTCCTTAACTGTAGCCTCTGTTTAACGCAACAGTAAAATGTGTACTTGGTTGTAACAACGATTCTTCGCGGCGGGGATCGTATTCCAGGGACCTGCTCGAAACGCTACGCGTACTAGTGGCTGTACAAGAATGTAACAACTCTTGTATATATCTCAAACAAACAAACAAAGCTCAATAGTTCCACCTTGGGAGAGGACCTCGATACATGCTTAACGTATATACATTCACAGGCTGCCTGACCCTCCCCGACAAGGGAAGGGAAGGGACAGGCAGCCTGTGAATGTATATACGTTAGGCATGTATCGAGGTCTTCTCCCACGGTGGAACTATTGAGCTTTCCCATGATCCTCATAAGAGTACGCTAG